GGCAGCGCGAGCCAGTTACTTATAGTAACTTATAGTAACTGGCTCGCGCTGCCAGTAATTACGCCGCGGGATATTCAGTGCACAGACCGTGATCATAAGACATACCGAAAATAGAAAATAGAAAATAGACATTGCATGTGAACGAAGCCTAAGAGAAACAGAGAAGGAGGAGGAGGAGGATACCTGCATAATCTCCATCTTCAAATGTCTGTTCCGGAGGCACCACTCTTTCAAATAACTCCGGCTTGGTCGCCAACAGAGCCGCTGACGCTACAAACCAGCAATCACCTGAGGACCTCAAAAAACCGACAACACATTTTAATCAGTATTCTACTCATTTACATCAATTCCTCAAAATTTCAGAAAGAAATGCAGTTCCCATAAAATCTAGATATAACATAAGATCTTTGGAATATGAAGACTGGTGCTCAAATCGGTTACTCTTACATAAAGATCAATAGCATGGCTTTATATGGTGCTTAATCATTTTCGGCACTGTGTGAGATGCAATACATCTATCAGTGAATAACAAGTGTAAAACCTGTGCCTTTCTTAAGAAATTCGATACTGTGCAGTGACTAAACTTTTACCGAATCAAGAAGTTCCTAGTGTTTTTTATTCACCTCCTCACCTATGTAGTCTCCCTGCGCGATATCAAAGCGGCTGGCACCTGCTACCAGAAACTTTGGGTCTGATACAAGTTCCTACAGAGATTAATGAAAAACAATTTTTATTATTGGACTGGTATTTTATAATTAAAGGTATTTTATACGGGATTTTGCATCACATCTAATTTTCGAGGTAAAAAAATTCTCTTTAAAATACGAGTCGTTGCTCGACCCGTCCTGCGCACTAGGATTCCATGTTTTGTCTGAATTAGAAAAGATAACTACATGCAGCTTTCCACGATGCTTAGACATAACATTCGAAAGTAGTATCAACATGGTGCATAATGGAACACATTTTGTATGACAAAGAAATAAATCAATAAAAGTCTTGAGAATGAGCCAGTTAAGCCTACTATTATAGTAGTCTTTATTCAACCTTCGGGGGAGTAAATCCAATAATTTCTTACCTTTGGCCTTTTCCAGGCATAAGGTCTGCTTATAGTGTATTCGGGACCGATAGTGCTACTTTCTGCCCCGAAATCCGGATCCTCGTACAGACGGCCGTCTCTGAGGCACGCCGCCTTTAAGGAAGCGTAATCTTCAGAAGTCTGCGTTGAGAAGGACTCTGGCTGCATTCGCCGTTGGAAGGCGGGGGAGTCGTAAGACCCAGGAAACGGTTCCCAGGGGCTCTGGCTTTGTTGTTGAAATGATAATTGTTGCTGATCCATTGTATTTAAAGAACGATCCAAGTCTTGCTTCTGATCAAACAATATGGATGTAGTAGGCCTATATCAAGTATATGTTAAGCTGCAGCAATCGCACAGGTCTCAACCTTAGTGCAGTGGTAAAAGTCGTAGAGATGATGTATGTTTTTCTGGTGGCTACTATCCAACTCCCGGCGTCTCACTGCACTGTGAATCATTGCTTGGGCCTCTAGGTAATCTTGGTGCGTTGAACAGATTCCAAACTAAAAGGCTGAGGCTCAGAAAGCTCTATGGCATTCACTCTAGTCTAGCCGGAGACTGGTAAATAAAAAAGCAATAAAATGAAACAAATAGTAAATACATGCCAAACTATTTTTTTGTCAAACGTGGCTCTACATAGAACAAGAATCCCATATTTAACACATACAACTAAGCTATGTTTTATGCTTGTTGGCAGAAGTGCTCCTTTTTTTTCATTCCAGGTTTATCTAACTATTTAATTAAATGTTCTTATCAATTTTGTATTTTAATGTGAATTTAATATGAATAAATGGATTCTTATATCCAGGCTTTACGTTCTCAAATTACAGATAAAAGAGAAATAACCTCTGTGAATTCCATTAAAAAAATTGCCAAAAGAGTATGCTACATGTCCCCAATTAGTCCTTCGCAATGTGTGGTTGTGGCCTTGAAGTTGTCTTTCTCAACAGCATTTGTCTCATCTCACCTAACACAATTTATTAGTATTGCATACAGTATACCTTTCTGTGCATTTAGCATCCCCCTCTGAAATGTAAATAAGTTTTGCTTAAGACTAGACAGTGGCTTTTCTATACAGTTGCAATTTGAGTATATGGGACCTACATTCTACATTAACAAACCAGCTACTTCAAACGATGTTCTGTCCAAGTTATCTTAAAATTAAAATAATTTTGTTTAATTCACAAAAATATCCCTAGATGCAGGAATAATGGTAATCACGAAAAAATGAACGAAATACGCATTGATGAACTAGTGTTATAACCGAATAACCAAATAAATTTGGATAGTCATACTATCTTGGCGACATCTTCTATCTCCGAGATATCCCATGAAATCAAAGTGTCACCGCCATGAAGAACAGTGAGCCATTCAAACGACTTGATAACTTTTTGCCTCGTTAAACACAGGTAGGTCCATATGAAAGTGTTTAAGAAACCGCTTGTGATCTTTGATTTCTCTACATGTACAAGCTGCGAGCACTGGGTTCAAAAGAAAGAAAAATAATAATAATCACAAAATGCCATTTAATGAGCTAATTTATGAGAGCAAATTAATAAGAGATTTTTTATTTAGCTTGTAATACTACAAAATACACAATTAAATCCCCCTCCTCCCTGGACAATACTTTTGTCAAGTTTGCATTCTTCATATTGATTCATACTCATTTAAAAATTGATTTTTGGAGAATTATTGCTAATTTCACCCTCTCAATATCGTTTGGAGTTTAAATTATTTATTACTCAAAGCAATCAAAACGAGGATAATATTATATTCCTAGAATTGATTGGCACTTCTGACAGCTAAATGAAGTGTTGGCAGTGAAAAAAGACCTTCTATACCATAATTATTATCTGTTAAAGAGGTTTCTCTGGTACCATAGTCAACCAAATGTGGTATGGATCATTTTATTCTTTGTGGCTAATTAAGGACCTATAAAACTGGTCTGTAGGAGGAAGAATCTGGTTCATTAATATATTTGAATGCGGCAGCCGCTGTAATTTAATCATAATTGAATTCATTTCACATCAGTGATATAAATTAATATTGGGCAATTTTCTTGAAAGAAATGCAACCAGAAAATAAAAATAAATAAATAAATAAATAAATAAAAGAAGTGCAGTCTAGTGTATATCAAAAAGCGCCCTTGGACCCGGCCTTATAAATGTCAAATGGGATCACACCGAAACAAAATTCATCCAGTACGAAAAGAAACCGCGACACAAATTCCCTACCGACCCTGAGCTCACGCTTGCCAATAAAGCAAGTGTAATAAAATCCATAAATAACCGCGAACAATAATATTGTTAGTAATTGTTTTCAAGGTAGATGAAGTGAGAAATTGGTTTTGTATAACGTAACAGCTAGACCTTATTCGGACTGGCCAATGAGGAAGCCGTGTCTTAGCAACCGAGACAATGAAAACAATGGCGACACGGGACACCAAATATTGTTCACGTCAGTAAGAACCGAGAACAACTACCAATAAGTTAGAACCAGAGAGAAGGTTGCCATCGTCGCCCAGGAACATCGGCTGAAGAGTTAGTAGGGATAAAGATAAAAACACCACCCCAAGAAAGCGGTCTCGACTCAAACATCAGAGCAAAATGACGGACGCTCTAGTTGAGACGCGAAGGGTTCAGTATTACGGGACGAACAGAAACATAGATCGGGAGGCAAAACAACTTGTGAAGATTCTAAAAAAGGACCACGTTCTTCAGAAAGGGGAATATAACCTTGAGGAGGCAAATGTGGACAAAGGCAATTTGTGGAAAAGTACGACTTTGCGGGATTTTTCGGTAGGTAACATGTGAAATTTACCTGTTACTTTCGTACTAGTAGGCTACTATGACATTGTGCGACGTCACAATCACTCCTCACAATTAATAAAAAGTAACCATAGAAAATCGTCGTATAGTACGTTCATAGAGTTAATTCTGACACATTAGTAATATTTTAGTTATGTATGATATGACAATGGAGAAATAATTTTATGAACAGAACTTTCATATAGCTGAAATTAAACAGCGCAGTCTGAG